TTTCACCACTTGAATTACAATAAAACTTAGAAAAAGATTGGAAGAAGAAAAGAATGAGATTGAGAGAAAAAGGAGGTCACGGACCAAAAACTTGTTTTCTAGATTTCTCTCTCTAAACTTCTAAGCGAAATGAGTTTGAGATTCTATTCAAACAAAACCTTATATACTCTTTCTTTCGAGGTAGAACTGGATTTGTGCCCAGAAAAGCCCCATCTCAACTCCACTAAAACTCCTAAGGGATCTCTAAACCCTTAAGTTTCTCAACACTGATTAACAACTCACTTAATAACATAAAACAACAGGGGTAATATAATACTATCACAACTTACAATGTTACACTTTCTATAAAAGTTTTTTATATATTATGCATCTCTTTTTTCTTGACCTGAGTCTTCTTTTATAATAGCTTGGAGAAAATGACTGTTGCAACACATTGAGTCTAGCTCACAGGTTTGCTTCGTTTGTCTTCATCATTTTTTCTTATGATGACAAGTAACTATTTGACTCATTTAATATGAGCATTAAATGTATTTCTCCAAATGGTACCTCTTATCTAATCAAGGTAGCTATTTATCAACTTTTCATATCAATCGAAACTTGCAGAAGTAATATCAACATAATGCACCAACAATAGTGACTTTATCTACCTTTTTCTGTAATTTTAGGGATTGTCCTTAGTTTTAACAAAAAATATGATCTTGTTCTCTTTAAGAAATTTGTGAGTTTCAAAATAATCTTCTAGTTCAATTTATTAATGAATGAAGTATTCAAGAAACTTTTATTGTTAGTCTCAATAAATAATAAACATTTAATGTATAAGAGATAAACCGCATGCTTTATCTGATTTACATCGCCTTATAAATGATCTTCATCTTATACTTTGTTTGTTAAGTATTTTCAAAGATATATAATAATAATAATAATAATAATAATAATAATAATAATAAAAATTAAATATACACATATATTATTTGTTTAAATATTCAAATTATAATAATTACCTTGCTCATAATTTTTAATTATTATAATTACGTATTATAACATATTACTACTATTAATTATTTTTTTAATCAAAATATATACTTGTATTATCAATTCGAATGTTCACATCACAAAAGTTATATTGATCATAATTTTCATAATTATGCATTATAATATATATTAATAATGAGGAAAAATTATTTATTGACATTTTAAAATAATTTTATATAATTATTTAATTATAAATCATTCTTTATTACAAATCATTTTTTATTACATGTTATTGGCTTAGACGATAACTATCTTAAATGTTACATGAATAATAATTTTTATCAGTAAGAAATGTAAATTTTTTAAATAGACAATGCATCATCATTAAATCTTATTAATATTATCAATTAATTTGATTAAGATTATATAATTGTATTATTAATTTGAATGTTCACATTACAAAGAATCATATTACTCAAAATTTCTTTATTTGTTATTTGTATTTATTAGAAAGAGTTACAATAGATAATAAATAGATCAACTATATTAATTTTTATTATAAAATTGATATAATCAGTCTATTTGATTGGTTCTCTTCTAGGTGTACCAAGGTGGTGGGAGATGGTCGAAATACCTTCTTTTGGAAGGATGGTTGGAGTGGTCAGGGACCTCTTTGTAATCGATATAGTAGATTGTTCTCTATAGCTTCTGACAAGGATGTATCGGTCGCAAACATGGTGCTTTGGAGGGATTGAGGTTTTGAGTGGATCTGGTCTTGGCGTAGGAGTCTATTTCAATGGGAATTAGATTTATTATCACAATTAGCGGTTGATTTACGATCAACTGTCTTAAAGAATGATTTTTGTGATAGGTGGTGTTGGAAGGATTCTAATGATGGGATATATAATGTGAAATCAGCATACACGGCGGTGATTAATGATGGTATCTACGCAGATTTTCTGCTTCATAAATTTCTCTAGTCTAGTTGTGTACCGTCTAAAGTATCAGGTTTTGCTTGGAAGGCCTTGCTGAATAGGATACCAAGCAAATGTAACTTAATTAAGCGGAAGGTTCTTAATACTTTTACTAGTGGATGTACTTGGTGTCGTGAAGATTTGGAGAATACCTCTCACCTTTTATTCGGATGTTATTATGCCTATTCTGTATGGTTATCTGTTTTTGATTGGTTTGGTGTTTCAACAGGTTTACACAACTCCTGTCATGAAAATTTTGCTCATTTTATTGGAGTTCCTAGATGCAGTGGTAGAGATAGGATGAGGTGGTCTGTGGTTTCGTTAGCCACAATTTAGTCTCTGTGGCTTGCTAGAAATGATGTCATTTTTAAAGACAAGGTGGTGGTCATTACGAATTTAGTGGAATTAATCAAACTACGCAGCTGGAATTGGATTAAGACAAAAGATAAGTCATTTTTTTACTCATTCTCAGTGTGGTTTTCTTCCCCTGATGTTTACCTTAACTTCTGGAATAATGATTTTTCTGATTCTGTACACACCATGGTGTTAGTTTTATATCCGGTTTTCTGATTACGGAACTTGTTTAATTATTAGATGACATTTTATTGTCCTAGTTTTGTAATGGTGATACATTACAATCTGGTGATTACCTTTTGTATAGATTATGTTGAATTTTGTTTAGGTGACTTTGTATTTTGTAATGGGTTGGGGTACTCCTTGTACTCTTCTTAATTTATTTTGCTTATAAAAAAAAAAATCAGTCTATTTATAATTAAATAATTATATAGTATTTTTTTCACATGAAAGATTAATTACAATATATAGTTATACATCTGCTATAGTTTTTTCTTTTTCTTTACTGTTGAAAAGTGTAATTAATACTTTCTTAATATTTAATATTTTAAAATAAATATCTGTAACACTCTCAAACACATATTTATAAATATATTCTCTATATTATTAATGCAATTTAGCAAAACACACACACATATTATATATATATATAGATTTTATTTATGGTTTTGTAATTTATGATGAAAGTGTGTTTTAAAATGAGAAATGTTGTGAAATAATAAACATACGGGAGTTCCTATTATACTGTTAAAGATGGAAGGGTTGGTGTACCTCCTACGTGGACTAATAAGCTTAAAGCTTAAGAAAGACAAAAGAAACCCAATAATTGAAACTTTAAATCATGTAATCCACCCACATATGTTAAATACACATCTCTAATCTTATAAAGTGTTTTTGAAAATTTTTCTTCAATCAGAGGATATTGTAAGATTTTTTTAAAATTTTTATTTAATTCAATTTTATTTATCATAATTATTTATAAAGTAAATATTAAAAATAAATAAAAATATTTTTTATAATATAAATTATTTATCATAAATATAAAATATAATTTACATGTTTAAAATATTTATATATACTAATTTTAAATATAATTTATATATTCAAACATAATATTTATTTTTATATATAATTTATTATAAATTTTAATTATATATAATAAACATATTTATACATTTGCATATACTAAAATACTAATATAAGTTAACGACAATTACAAAACAATTGACAATATGAATAAAATATTAGAATCAATGATGAAAAAATTCATAAAAAATATAATATCAATATTAAAAAATATTGTAAATAAAATTACAGATTTTACCTGTAATAAAATAGAAAAATAACTAAATGAAATTAATAAAAAATATATGGCAAGAAAAAAAGTATAAATAAAAAAATAATAAAATCAATGTAATGCATGGAGTATTACAACATATAGAAAATCTTTTAGAAATGCATGAAAATAACTAATGTATAATTAGAAAAGAACTAGAGGAAATAGTTATATCAAAATCAAAAGAAATCATAAAATAAGATCCGAAGAATCTACAAGTTTAATAAAACCTTATTCAATATGGAGAAGTTATAAGAAAAATATGTAATTTTTTTAAAACATTCTACCGATATAGAAGATATTCAATAACTACTTGAGAAATTAAAAATAATCGAGTAAGAAAATAAAAAAAAAAAATTCATGAAATAAACACTATAGAATAAATATAAACAGGAAAAAAATTATAAATTAAATTTTTTTTTTAAAAAAATTTAGATAAAATAGATAATGCTCTCGGGAGGAAATTCTTTTAGATTTTCCTAGCTTCTAATATCTAGTATCACATCAATTAATCGAAAAGGTTAATTTACAAAATAAATAATATATATATATATATATATATATATATTTCACATAATAAAAGTAAAACATCATTACAGAGATAAAAATAGAAAAAAAAAATGTACTATTTCTATAAAAACATTAAAAAAGAAGAAAAATAACTAAAATAATAGAAAAGAAAAACTAATTTAGAGTATAAAAATTAAGATAATAAGACTAAAATATGTTAAAAAGTATGAAAATATATAATAGAAGGAGGATCCATTTACTCTAGGTGTAAGTTTATCTAAATTTACTCCATTCAATATCTCATGTTTTACATTAAATTTTAATGATCCAATAGTTGAATTTAAAGTTCTTAATGCACAAATCAAATCTAATAATTTTTAAAAAATTTGAAAATCATTTGATACTTCATTTCATTAATTCAAATTAATAGATAATTATAAAATTATTTTATACATTAATTTAAATTAATAAAATAAAGTATTAAATGATTTTCAATTTATTTTAAAAATTTGCAAATATAATCCATGCATTAAAAACTTTAAGTTCAACAGTTAAATCATTGAAATTTGATATAGAACACGAGTTATTGAACAAAGTAAATCTAAATATATTTACTTAAAAAATAAACATATCCTTATATAATAAAAGTAAAAAAAATATGTAAATAGATTGATTAAATAATCTACAAATAAAATTCAAAGATAAAAATGTGAAGAAATAATAACAATATATATAATAAAATATTACGTAAATAAATCATTAAATAAAAATTGGTAAGCGTTGACTATCCAATAGTAATACTCCCGGGACACAGTAGAATTTGAGATGTGAGAGCGATAAAACCGGGAAGGAACATTGAAGTTTCTACAAATGCAGGTAAACGAAAGAAAGATATGGTGAAGAGAGAAGACAGAAGGAAATAGAAAAAGACAGTTCTGTTCTGTTATCTCTCTCTCTCTTTCTCTCTGTGTCTCTATTCAACCAATCCACAAACACGAAGACGAAAAGCAATATCTGAGAAGTGAGAAGTGAGAAGTGAGATCACATGGGTCTGTGCTTCTCCTCTGGCTCTTCCCTGAGGCGCCCCCAAACGCAGTACTCAGGGTCAGCGACGACGAGCAGCGCCGGGAAGAGCCAATTCTCGGAGATAGCGAGCGGAAGCATCGACAGCCAAGGCTCTCTCCCTCTCGCTCTTCCGCTTCCTTCTCCCGATGGCCAGATTCTGGAGAGGCCCAATCTGAAGGTCTTCACCTTCGGGGACCTGAGATCGGCCACCAAGAGTTTCAAGTCCGACACATTGCTCGGCGAAGGCGGCTTCGGCAGAGTCTACAAGGGCTGGCTCGATGAGAAGACCCTCTCCCCTGCCAAAGCTGGCTTCGGCATGATCGTCGCCATCAAAAAGTTGAACCCCCAAAGCACGCAAGGCTTTCAAGAGTGGCAGGTCACCTTCTCTTTTACTCATACACTAAATAAACTCTAATCAATTCTGCATATTAACCACTTTTACTCAAAAAAAATTAGGAAAGTTTGAACAATGATTGTTTTTGATAAGGATTGAGTGTAGGATATTAATCACTTTTAATCTTCTTTTTTTTTTTTTTTTTTTTGAATTTTCTTTAAATATACAAAAATAAATATATCACTTTTTATATAATTTTATTAAATTAGTTTTACTTTTTAATTATAGTAGGTAAGTAATTTATAAAGATGTAAGTTAGAAAAAAAATTAAAATTACATTCAGAATCGAGAATGCTAAAATCGTGAGCGATAAGAGATGAATGGCGACGGAGGGAGTATTAGTCTTATGCTTTCTCTGACTCTGTTTTCTCACATGATGGTTAAGTTTGTATAGATAACATTTCCTGTAATTTGCGGGTGAGGTGATGACATTATACTGGTAAATTCTGATTGGGTATTTATTCTTTTTACTAATTGACTGTACTTATTTTATCATTTTTATGGGTCGTGGTTGAAAAAGAATTTCCTATTAGTTACAGTGACAACTAACGGGGTTAACACTATTCACTGATTAATATTGCGGAATTGGTAATGTTGGGTCCTTACACAATGACCTACAGGCACCAGTCTTTTTTTTTTTTTTTTTTTTTTTTTTTTTTTTTTTTTTTTTTTTTTTGGCTAATTGGTAGCACTAGATTTATTTTGGTTGACAAAGAATTTTCAATGAAGTTTTCCTAGTTAGAAATTAATGCGGGTGTCATTGATTATCAATTTTGTACAGGTTGTTACGCTATGTCGTTCCATCATTATCTGCTGGTCTTTTTTTTTTTTTTTTTTTTTTTTTTTTTTTTTTTGTGATTGAAGACTTGGTTTTGAATGGGTGTTTAGAATTGAAGTGTTAATTAATATGGTGGTGGTGGTGATGCTTGGTTGTGCAATATGGAGTCACAGCTGTGCCGGGGTGTGTTATTCCACAGAATTGTAGTATTAAAAAATCGGAGTCCGCAAGGTTGTCGCGGAATGTGGTTGGAAATTGAGTTGTGGGCCCCACTTACATGACCTGTTTTTCTGCCATTCATTCGATATTAAAATACGGTGCCTTAAATTCCACATTATCGAACGCTTGACTCATGATATGTTCAAAATAGGCGTTTTCATTTCACTCTTAAAATTTGGATCGTTTTGTCTGTTTGTGCTATCTTCCCTTGACTTTGTCCTTCAAGTAAGGGCAAAAATTAATATATGTTCTCTGCATCATGTTTGAAAAGTATGATGCCATCTCATTACCATTTCGCAAAGGGAACTGCTTTTTAAATTGTACACGTGGGATTCCAGCCTAACACAATTTCTTAAGAAAAGTAGTTAGTAACGGTATGTTTGCTTTGAGTTCGCATGTGAATCGGGATTTATGTTGAAGATGCATCGTAGAAATACTTGTTAAAAACTTATCTTGACAATATTGGTATGATTAGATGAAATTCTTAAAGGACATACAAAATCATAACAATTAACAAGGCATTCTTGGACTGAATGTTTGTCATTCTATCATGTTGTGATTTCAGTTGTCATATTGCATTTAATCTTATATGTAGCCATGAACACAACTCATAGTACTTTACATGTGATAAATTCAGTCTAGCTATTCGATTATCTAACATGTTTTTCTGTTGATTGGAAAATGCAGTCAGAAGTGAACTTTTTAGGGAGGCTTTCTCACCCGAACCTGGTCAAGCTATTGGGTTATTGTTGGGATGATGATGAGCTTCTTCTTGTGTACGAGTTCATGTCAAAGGGAAGCTTAGAGAATCATCTATTCAGAAGTATGACTTGAACACTATTAAAATGAGTAAAAGAAAACTCTTCCTCATGAATTTGAGTTTAATTCATTTTCTTTGTAATGTTTCCAAGCAGGAAATCCCAACATAGAACCTCTTTCTTGGAGCACACGGTTTAAAATAGCCATTGGTGCAGCTCGGGGATTAGCTTTCTTGCACGCCTCCGAAAAACAAGTCATATACAGAGATTTTAAGGCCTCAAATATACTACTTGATGGGGTCAGTTATTTTCTGTTGGTTGATTTCTTATGTTGTATTGTAGTCTACCTTTTCCCTTATATCAAGAGATGGAAGCTATGCTAAGTAAATGTAGCATCAACAAGTTGGGATGAATAGACAGTTTAAGAATTTGTACCCCTATTGTTTACTTTACTAACCAAACTCGTATTTAAAAGGTATGAAAACTTAAGAGCGTGTTTGGGTTCGCGTTTGATCATCTAAAATCATGTTAAAATACTAACTAACATGAATTTAGGTAAATACTAACGTGTTTGGTTCCATGTTGAGGAATTGATTCTAGGTGTAGAACTGATTTTGAGTTAAAGCAACTTCACATAGCTTTTGTGCTGGTTCACAAATTTTATATCGAGTTTTTCTATTAAATGGCTTTTAGAAATTAGAATATAAACACCAAATATAAATCACAGTACTTCAAAACCAATCTCACAATCAATTTCATTTAAAAATCAAATTTTCAAATGCCCACCCAAACACGTTGTTCGTCTCTGTTAATAGAATATCAACTAAAAAGTGCAATGACTTTGTTCCTATTGTCTCTTTTCTAAGTGTTGTCAATACCAGACCCGTTGACTAGTTGGAGAATATCCATGATGTCTCTTTTCTAAGTAACAAAATTGATATTTATTTTATGCCAAATTGCTTGGATGATTTTGATGACAGATTCTTTTGTATCTTCCAGAATTACAATGCAAAAATCTCAGATTTTGGCTTGGCTAAATTGGGACCCTCTGGAGGACAGTCACATGTAACTACCAGGGTTATGGGCACATATGTTTATGCTGCTCCAGAATATATTGTAACAGGTAAATAATATATCTGCACATAATTGACAATTAAATCAACTTTAAATGTATGTTTTGACTTTATTGATTACTCACAAGGCATAATACAGCTAAGTTTAGATGCTATGCCAACTAACAAGGAAATGAAAGTAAAATGTAGCGAAAAATGAATTGTCTGGTTTGACAAAATGTTTTTTGTTTTCATTACTATTTTCACATATAATTACTAAAATGTCACTTGACTTGACTTCTTGATTTCAAAGATGTGTACAGATAAGTTTTGACTCTTTCTGAAAGTAAGAAATAAATTAAGTGAAAACAAGGGGCATTGACATTTTTTTGTAGTTAAATTAAGATTGAACCAAACAAACCTTACTGTAATACTAAAGCAATCAATGTTTTGTCGATGAATGAAGTTGGAGAAGGTAGATTAAAGATAAGCAATAGTGTAGTCTAATGGTTTGACCCACCACAAACTAACATGCCTTTGAATTGTATGAATATTTCAACAGGGCACTTGTATGTGAAGAGTGATGTGTATGGTTTTGGTGTGGTGCTTCTTGAAATACTGACAGGCATGAGAGCACTTGACACAGAACGCCCAACAGGGCAGCAAAATCTAGTTGAATGGACCAAGCCTCTTCTTTCTTCCAAGAAAAAGTTGAAAACAATTATGGATGCTAAAATAGAGGGTCAATATTCACCCAAGGCAGCATGGCAAGAAGCACAACTTACTCTAAAATGCTTAGAAAATGACCCTAGACAACGTCCTTCTATGAAAGATGTTGTTGAGGAATTGGAAGCCATTGAAGCTATCCATGAAAAATCTAAAGAATCCAAAATCCGCAATTCTCACTGCACTTCTCATCAACCTCCTCGGCAGAGAGTTGCAAGAGTATAAATAAATTTGTACACAAAAAAAAAGAAAAAACTAGAAATTGAGATCGAAAGTAATATGGTCCACCGAGTAGGTTGTTGGATTGGTCACTTAATAGATGTGATTTTTTTTAAGTATATGATTTTTTTTGTTGATTATTCATATTTTTATAAAGTGGGAAAATATTTTGTATGTGCAAGGGAACATAGTTTTGATGCTAATATGTCATTTTTTTTCAAGAGTTCTTTTTCTTTCAATAATGGGAAGTTGATTGGCTCATGGAAATCTTGTAGTGGAAACTATCATATTATTGTTATTGACGTCCATCTTTATAATCGATAACAAATCACAATCGATCTATCTTGAAATCTCGAGTTTGTATAACTACGAACAAAAGTAATTAACATGAAATATGTGATAATAATGTAGCATGAGATATGTGATAGTATTGTAACATAAAATCACGAAATATGTGATAATATTGTAACATAAAATTATTTGTGTGATGCGTAAGTTTTCTGGAATTTAACATGTATTTTATTTTTTTGACAATACTTAAGGAGGTTTTCTAGGATATAACGTTTTTTTTTTTTTCTTTTTCTGATAATACTTAAGACATTAAGAACTCACAAAGAAAATTAGATAATAAGGAAAAAAACATAAAAGACTTGGGATGTGTTTAAGAAAGGTATGAATATTATTTTATTTTAATAATTGATTATATGTATAATCAATTATAATTAGAATAATTTTTTTTATTTTGGTAAATTTGTTGAATATAAAATATTTAATTTTGTTTGAATATAAAAAAAGTCATCTTTTATAAAGTAAATTAGCTTGAGAAGAAAAAATTCTAATGAAAACTAATCATAAGTTTCAAATTTTCAGATTTAAGAAAACAACTTTTTTTTTTTAGAAGAAAAAGGCTATTTGCAAATTTAAATTGTTGTCTTGAATAACTGGCTTATTTAACAAACCATTTTTTTTCATTCATTAAAACAATTGAAATGAATGAGAATAATCTTTTTCAAACACACTATTAGTTCACCGGCGAGATAGCTATACCAAAAAACTATTTGAAATGATATATTTATAAGATTTAAATGTGTTTTTAATCTTTTAAATTTGGAAAAAATTTATTTTTGAATTTTCAAATTCAAAATTGATCTTTTTGATCATTGTAATTTCAAGGAAAAAAATGTTCTAGTATTCCAGGATCACTGATTGCATCATTGACAATGACAAATTGAGTTAGTTGTATAGCATTAGTTAGGTTCAACATGAAATTTTCATTAACAAAAGTACTGTACTATCCGTACTATGAAACCGAGCTCGAGCTCGGCTTCAGAGCGTAAGATGACCTCGGGCACGCGCTACATGACGTCAGCTCAACACTTAAGCAGATCATAACTGATCTCTGGGAATCTCGCTCATCGGCGAGACCTATTATCTAATCTTATCACATCTTATCTTGGGCCTAAGGCCCATAGCAACCCTAATTCACACCAAGGTACGTGCATTACTTATAGGAGATTCATACTCACACAAACCCTAACTTTAGCATCAGAGTCTCTTTTGCAGGTACCATCCCCATCTTGGAACACTAATGTATCAGCGAATGAGGCTCACCGACCTTACCTGGCGGATCATCTCTACAGTAGATCTCCAGTAAGAACATTTGGCGCCCACCGTGGGGCTGATCGAGACAGCTCTCATTGGCCACGCTTATGGTTAGCACCAGAAGCCATAGCAGACGCGCAACGGATGACGCAAACCATCCATCTATCATGGATAACGAAGCAGCATTGAGGAGACTGATCGACCAGGTCGAACAGATACGGCAACAGCACGACGCCGACCTACAAAACATGCGTGCCAAGCACTAAACTGACCTAGCGGCAATGCGGACCGCTAATGAGGCTGACCTAGCAGCACTATGAGCCGAAAACGAGCGTATTCGCGCTCAACTCCCTCGGCATCACAATGAGGAAGATGAGCATTCCGTCTCCCAACCTCGGACCGCAACTAGGGTACCAACCCCACGGCCTGCCACACATCCGTCTCACGCACCGACGCATAAGTCGGCCCATGAGGTCAGCAAGGCCCTGTAGACCCCTAAAATTGTCCGGGTCGGAAATAAAGAAAACTTGTTAGTCCTCTCCAAGTGTTTGGACACTCTTTTTGTTGTGGTGTAACTCCCTCCAAAGGCTAGGTTTGAATTCGGTTCACTCCTCCACTCAAATCCACCAAAGGTGTGCTAGTTTGCTAGATAGGTTCTTCACCTACAAACAAAATGAAACCAACCCAAGAGCAAAAGTCCAAGGAAATAAAAACTGAAAATGCACAATTAGGGGAAGGCTAAACTTAGAGAGAATTGATGAAGACAAAACAAGAGAGGCTAAATAAAAGACAAACTAAAATTAAGACTCAATCAAAAATAGGAAGCACACAAAAAGAGTAATCCTAGAAAGGCACTAGAATGGATTAGTGTTTAAGCTCACTTGATTAAGTCTTTTAGTGATTCGGTCCAGCCACTCCTATGGTCTCAAAATAGGTTCAAAAATGTCACAAGTCCAACTCCAAAGGCAAAGGTAATGGTCCAAGTCCACAAGTCTAGCAACAAGTCCTTTGTTTTTTATTTTTTTGTCCAAGATTCATTTTTTTTTTGTTCTATTTTCACGTCAACTTTTGTTTGATATTCCTTGGGTCCAATTTCTTTTCTTTAATATTCATCCCATTGTTGCTTAGGTTTTGAACTTGTGGGTGGTGAAAATTAGGTCAAGTTTTAGGAGAAAGAGAGGAGGACAAGTGGCGTGATTTTAGAGGTGTTTAGGGTATCTTTTGAGTGGAAAATGATTTGTACTATCTAGTACAAGTTGTTTGCACAGAATTTTTCAGCACACCTCTTAGATTCTTTTAGGGTTTCTTTAGGCATAGAATGTTGACTAAATCAAGTGAGAATGCAAGGAAAGTGGGCGGTTATGCATGTGCAAGGAAATGTTTACACATGGAAATCAAAATCACATAGAACATGCTAGGACTAGGTAGCATGCATGAATGACTCCTAGATGGCTCCTATATGTCACGCCTACTTAGAATGATGCATCATGGTATTTTTGTTCATGTGTTTCATGCAAAGTGTTTGGCACATACATGGAAATTTTTTTTGTAGACAAAATATAGGAAACATAAAATGACAAAACTTAGGTGGATTCAAAAATCAAAAGCATGTTCATAGCATGTTCTTCATGTTCATGTGAGACTCAACCTAAAATTAGAAAAGCATGGCAAAAACCTAACAATGGAAACCTAAAATGGCAAGGAAGGTTCACAAGGAACAAGAACATGAACCACAAGCATTCGATCATACAAAGCAAGGCAAAAAGAGAGGTAAAGACCGAATGAAAAAAATGACACAAAGACAAGGAAGACAACGTTTTACCCTTGATGATCCTTGGCTCTAGATACCACTTGATGGAGTCCCTCCTTCCATGATTGATGATGGTGTGTGAAGGGAGACACCTTGCCCTTGATCTAGGTTCACCAAAGGGTAGACAAAGGATGATTTAGGGTGGGAAAAGGAATATAGGCGTGAACAAGAGTATGGTGGCGGAAGTGTTTTAGGGTGGTGGTGTATGGTTGCTCAAGGTTAGCTCACTCCAAGTGTAGGTGGAGGCCAATCTAGGGTTTCACTCTCCAAGGGTGGAGAATGAAGGGGGCTAGCCGAAACTAACCTAGGGACTAAGGATAGGATTTGAGGCAAAGAAATGCTCTCTCAAATTCATATAATCCAAAGTATTTACAAGGTGTGGGGTGTTGGGTATTTATAGGAGGGGAGGCATCTAGGGTTGCATTTGGAGTAGGCAAATGCATTCCAAATGAAATGCAAATGAACCCTAGATGCAACTTGGTGGCCAAGGATGGAATCTTTGGGGTTAGATTGGCTATATCTAGGTGCATGATAAGTCCATGCAACCTTTGCCCTCCACTTGGGCCTAAGCCTTTCTAACACCAAAAATAGATCCAAAAACCACCAAAATAGGCGTCACCTCCTAATGGAATACCCTAGCCCAAAATAAAAACCCTAATCATCTAAAGCACCCCATAATACAAGGGTAAAATAGGAAATACAAAGAAAATAAATCCTATGACTAAAATACCCCAAAATACAAGGGTAAAATTGGAATAAACCAAATAAATCCTACACTACTCAAAATTAGTCATAGCATTGGACCATGTGATGGGTTTCACATGAAGTACCATGGATGGTCCTCCATCATACCCTCCTTCTTGAGAAGGATTTGACCACAAATCTTCAAGTTCTTCCATTCCATTGATCCTTCAAAAGAAGTGAAACCACAATTAGGGGAGTAAAATATTAAAACTTAACTATGCAATCCTTAAGTACATAATTTGTTGAATGAAGGTGCTTAGGGCAAAAGGGAAGAGCCAAAGAGGCATCACCATTTAAAATTTATTGACCCATGCAATTCATTCACCAAATCATCTAACTTAGGATTGGGTGCCTTTTATGCAATGATGGCTTTTAAAAAGGTGCTCATCCTCCATTGCCATCTTTCTTTGGCACCAAAGAAAAGAGGATGGCACAAGGGTTAAGGTTCACTTGAACCTAGCCCTTTTTCTTCAAAGGAAAAATTCTTTTTTTCTTTTCTTTTCTTTTTGTTTTTGTTTTTGCTTTTCTCTTCATCATCTTTCTTAGCCTTTAGTTTGAGTTGGTCCTCATTCACTTGAGAGGGTGATAGAGGACACCACACAAACTTCTTACCTAAGTGTTGGAAACTTATTTTATTGGTGAGGCCATCATGGATTATGTGCTTGTCAAATTGCCATGGCCTCCCAAGCAAGACATGACTAACCTCTAATGGCACTATGTCACACAAAACATCTTCTTTATAGTTGCCAATAGAGATTGGTATGCTTACTTGTTGGTTAACTACAACACCTCTCTCCTCATTGATCCATTGCATTCTATAAGGTTTAGGATGAGGTTTTGTAGTCAAGGCTAACTTATCAACCAATCTAGTACTACAACAATTTGAAG